AAAAAAAAATATCAAATATAACACAATCTTGGCAAAAGGGGGTTTAGAAATTAAAATAAAATTTTTTTTTTTTTGTTTTGAAAAATATTGGCAGGAAAATATTTAGCAAATTATAAAAGATATTGAAATCGAGATAAACATTTGCTTTTATATTTTTTTTACTAAATTAGTGAAATACGTATAACGGTTGCGCTTGTAAAAATAGTTTGGCTCGTTAACTAACAAGTTTTAAACAAAGAATATAAAACGCTTGAAAAATTGTTTATAAATTTTTTTTTATAAACTAGCTTTCAAGTTGCTTACACATTATTATTTCTTATAATATATTTTTAAATTTGAATCCTTGCAATGAAAGCATGAAAGTCTGAATTTCCCTATTAAAAATTGTTTAAATTAAGGAAATAAATTAGTTATAAATTATTTATAACGTGCCGTAGACAAATGATCACTGATTGCTTTTGACAAAACGCATACTGGGCGACAAATTTTGTTCTAGTTTTTTAAATAATTTTCGGACATAGGTACATATTTCAAGAATAACACATTTAATTTTCCAACAAGTATTTAACGAGTCTCAAATTGCTGGTCGACCAGAATAAATTGAGAGACGTGATATTGCCGACCCTATATGTGGTAAGAATACAAAAATTTATTTACAGAACACAACAAATTTATTATTCATTCTTACAAATTAAGTTATGCCCTATTAATCCATGACTCATTTTCAATGTAGTGCGGTAACGTTATTTACGTGTGATTTTTATTGGTCATGATTTGCAACAGGTTGCAATATACTGATCGCAATAAAAAATAAATAAGCCCAATATAATTGATCATTTGACAGTTTTACCCTGAAATTTAGAAAAATATTTGAAACTTTGATCATTTCTAACAATAATATTTTTAGGTAAATTTTTACATTTATCGGAATTAAGAATTGTGTTGCAGTTTTGACTTCTGTTGATTACAGAGATTCGGAAATGCACACCGATAAATTGATGTTGCTAACTTTTCAAATTTTAAAATTCTGCTAAAAATTTTTTTTTAATTCCAGTACGCTCTCTCATTAGCATTAAAACACCGTGTAATTTTCTTTATTTTCTAGTTATAGTAAGTACTTAATACCCATATATATATATAACTATGTACTTATACATAGGTATATTGTATAGAAAAAGTTATCACTTTTTAATTAATTAATGCACATAAAAAAATATGTTTAAAAAATAAGTTACAGTTATTAAATTAGCAAGTTAAAGAAAAAAAAAAACCAAAAAAGTAATTTTTTATTTTCAAAGTCGTATTTAATTACACATACGACAAGTAAATATAGATTTTGTGTGTCGTAATATATTTTTCACAACGCAACGCACCCTTGTATTTGTTACATTACATATTTTTACATTTTCTTATTCATAAGTTGGTATATCTGTGTGAATGTGTGTAACTAGTTGTAAAACGCATTTTATTTAACATTGTGTTATGTAAGCCAGTCAGAGTAAGCATATTATGCATTTTTATGGTACCAATTCTTTTTCTTATTAATATTCCAATTATAAATTCTAATTGAATTATTTATACATTCAATTTAATTAATTTTCATTTGATTGTAATAATTAAGGTAAACAACTCTCGATAAAAAAAAACAAACATAACCTATATATGTATATATATAATTGTATGTACTTAATACGAGTATGTATGTAGGTATGTAAGTATATAAAATAAAATTTAAAATTCAAAGAAAAAATGTAAAAGAAATAAGAAAAAACGAAACAAAAGAATTGTAAAACAAGCAAAACCGCTCTAAATTAATTCCAATTAAAATAGAATTAAAAATTTATTGAGTAAAAACCAAAAATAACAGTAGCAGGCACAGAGTAAAAGCAGTAACAATAAAAAGAACACCAAAAGCAACTAAAACACTAATAGTATATTATATGTACATAAAATAGTATAAATAACGAATCAGAATTTTTTTTTACCAGCTCTCCCCCACCCGATCTCCTTAACGCTCTTCGAATTCCATTTAAAGAAGTTAACAACGAAATTAAAGGTAAAGAGAAGCGATGAAATATAAGCAACCGCAAATTGAATATTAAGAAAAAAAAAAATCGTGATCAAATTTTATTATTTATTCATGTGCATTATAAATATGCGAACTATTCGTAAAATCTTTTAATAACCTAATAATGTGTATATATACATAAATACATACACCTTATGAATATGTGTGTAGACTATGTGAATATTTAATAATTTTTATGTTCACCTGTATGATATCTTTACAGTTAAAATGATTTATTGACATAAGTAATGCTTGATATGTATGTTTGAGATATATGTATATGTTTGGTAAACACAACCCATAACACAATATAAAACTATAATTCAAAACACCATTCATAAAAATCAATAGACAAAAATTAGAATTCAATTCAATCAAAGAAGAAAACATAAAAAAAAAGAAGCTTAGAAAAAAAAATTCGTTATTATAGACTTATAGACGGCTGACAATAGTCGTGCGCATAGCATTTAAAATTTATAGTCAAAACAATTTCAATTTTAAACCGAACTCAAAATTTTTTAAAATTATTTCATTAGTCTATTAGTTTTGGAGCTTTAAATGGCTGCGTTCTGTTGATTTATCGTAATTGTATCATACTTTTATTATGTTTGTAAATAAAAACTTACCTAGAGGGCTTCAAATAATTTCGAACTTCTTAGGCGGTTAATTGATTTGAATTGAAAAAATAATCTCACCTGCAGTTGAAAAACCTGTCACAACTCCGGAAAACGATAGGTTTCAAAAAAAAAATTGCATTATATCTATATTAGGTACCTCTAAGCTTCTTCATACCTCAAAATTTCGTGTTGTGATCTCTTAGTTTTGATATGAGAGCATGAGAGAGAGTCTTTTTAGCAAATTTAATAATTTAAAAGAAGAAAATTATTGGGATGCAACTTACTGTAAGTGTAAACGAAAGTGCCATTTGCAAATTTCCTGAAAAAGTAGCCTAGTTACATTATCGAAAAAAATGGGCACAAGTTTTTAAATTTTGCGATATTTTCGAAATCGCCGTTCAATCTTCTTTAAATGATATTTTCGAATTCGAATTACGTTCTTTATAAATAGGTGAAAAACATTTTCCTAACTTAATTTGCTTGCTGTTTATTTGTTAAGTTTCCAAATGAGGAATTCGAGTTGTATAGAGTACCATAATGAAGTATAAGGTTTTCGTTTCTAATTCCTGTATATGAAAACAATTTTATGATGCTCAGTACAATTCCCTTTCAATCATTTTAAAATTGAATGATTCAGATTAAGAAATAATTTTAAAATTAAATTTTACTTTTCTTTATTAATCAAACTTTTGTTGAAAGAACGGCATTTTTCTGTAACGCCAGGTTACTATTTAACTGCAATTGCGTCAACGATCAAACGCTTGTGTATTTAAATGCTGCAAGTTTATTCTACTGTTTATAAACTTGCATGTAAACAAAAATGCTTATAAACAAAACACAAAATAAATAAAATTTATAATCACTGGAACTGATTAGGTACCGTTTCTTGTTTTATTTTTTTTAACAATACTGGATCAATGTCACCAACTTCAAGTGATGTAATTTGCATAATAAAAAGTTATGAACTTCAACAAATTTATGATTTTGTAAGTAAAATTATAAAAAAAACAAAAAAACATAAATTTTCAATTGCAAATGTTTCGAACATTTTTCGAAAAATATTTCGATGTCTAGTCGCATATTTCTTTTTCCAATCTCTAATAAACTATAAAATATCGCAAATAAAATCAATTCAATTATTATATCTAGATACATATGGTTATGTTCAGATTGTGTTATATATAGGCAGGCTATATATAGGCTTATATACAGATACATGTTGAAATATTTTAATAGATAAAGCGATACTAACTGTATTAGTGCCTACATACATTGTTTATTTCGAGTTCTATATACATAATGATTTTGAAATAGGTGTGGTGAATTTATAACGTAAACTTTAAACACTACGTACTTGTATATTTGGTATTTATACTTACATATATTCAATGTTTTAAGATTTAATTAATGTTGTGGGTACATTTTTGTTGCATTTGTGTAATGTTATACACTTAGAAGGTGGATATTGTGAATAGTATAGAAGAAATCTGCAAGTCAACATTGTTGGTTATTGTTATTTTTTCTTGAATAGTTTTTTTTTTTTGTTTTTTATTGTACTTGCCAATGTTCGTTATTATTTAACTTTGTATGTTCCTTGTAGCGAAGCTAGATTTTCATTATTATATTAGGAATTCCTCTATTGATGCTCCATATATGTTGTTCTTCAATATGCAGTTTAAATAAAGCTCACCTTCGAATTTTATTTATTCGAAATAGATTTATAAAGCTAAAATTTCATTTTTGGTAAACGTGTTTTTTCCTCGTATTATAAAACCTACAACAATCTACATACTTAGTTGAAAATTTCTTGCAAAAATTTTAATAAGGGAGTTGTTGTGAGAAAATTTTAAAAAGAGAGAATTGTCACTGATTTTCTTTCCTTGTAATTTTGAGTTTCTACACGAATAAAACGAAAATTCAAACGAAATTTTTATAAATGTACAGGTGCATTCATAAACATTTCGTAATAATGCTATTTTAGATTGTTTATCTTATTTAATTATATTAGATTTAATGGAAAATAACGTAATGATCTTATTGAGCTTTACAATGTCCAAATTTTTTCAAATTATTTGTTACTTTGCAAAAAGTTATTTTAAATGTTATATAAATGTGCATTCCATTTATTTCAAATTATAAAAATTAATTGCGTTATATTAACTTAATTACAAGCTTCTTCTGTACATTATCAGTGTATAACAGTATATCTTTAAAAATAATGTTATACAATTAAATTTAATTTCTGTATCTCATATTTTTGATGATTTATTTTAAACTCAACAATTAATTCTAAATTTTTTTTTCTTTAATTACAGGAACTTTTTATCGAAATTATAGAGAGGAAAAGTAAAAATGTAAGTATAACAAAATAATCTGCATACTTAAGCATAAAAATCGTTAATATTTATCGAATTAATTTCAGAATAAGAAAAAATTAAATAAAGAAAGTTTAAAAATTGGCTTTCATTTATAATTAAATTTGTACTTACAAAGTTTATACAGTTAAGAGTTGTAATATTTGAAGAGTTTTGCATAAAATATTTTCCAAAAATAATTTTTTTTTTAAAAGGAAGTTATTAAAATCAAAAATATTAACCTTTTCTTTTAAAAGATCACACACCTAAGTGAGTTTTTCTTTTTATTATGCAGCAATAATAACGAATTTTTTTACTTATACAAGTGAAATGATATTGTACTTGTGTATATAAATCCAAACATACATATGTACCTATAAATTGCTCACATTGCTTGTGCACAATATACTTAGAGAAGCAATATAAATTATTTTGTATACTGATGTAAATATTAAAAAAAAAAGAAGAGAAAAAGAAGTTTTAAACACTAAAAAATCAAAAAACAAAAATTTATTGTACCAATAATTTTAACGATGCCAATCATTTAACAATGAGGTCATCCATTCCATATTCCCATTCAATTTTATGAAAGTAACTTTGAAATTTCCTATATCTATATAAAAATTTAATTTGGAATAAAATATTGTGTACATATGGGAAAAAAGCAATTTTCCTTTATGGTTGATTTAATTAACAAGAATTTTAGTGAAAAAATTGCATATTTACAGGCGTATTAAAATAAATTGTTTGAGAAAAGTGCTGCTGTAAAGATTCCTAAAATTCTATTGTATCGCTTTTAAATGGAGACATTTTCCCTAATTTAGTCCTAACTTCTTAATTTAAATCAAAAATATCAACTACTCAAAATCAACTACTGCAAAAATATGTACGTATTATAAAGTAAAATAGAAGCAAAATAGGAAATTGTTGAATATTGAAGAATGACTCCAGTATGTTACAAAACTGCAGATATGTGTTTGAACTCCCAGCTAGCATCGAAAATCACTTAGCTCTTAAAAGGTTTCCGTTTTATCCGGGGCGCAAGAGATACTTGATAGTGTTCAGGATATTTTAACATTTTCTGCAAGATTTTCTATATAATTAACACAATGATTTTACAATTAATAACATTATTTTATAATTATTATTTTGTTACAATGTTGGATTTAAAATTTCTAAATTTCAATCTAACTTTATTTGAATATAAAAACGTTATTAATTGATTTATTTACTGTAAAATATGAAATGAAATTAAGGCCGACCAACATAAATAATCCGGAAATCATAAGCATATTTTTTTTCTTTAAGATTTTTATACTTTTTTTTATGATATATGTACATATACATATAAATGTAGGTACAATGGAAAAGCAAGTAAAATTATGTAGAAAAATTTGAAATTTAAGAAGGAATTTTCAGACGATACCTTCCATAACGTGGACCACAGACAATATTGTTTAGAGAATTTTAATATATGCTAAAAATATATGCACATGTATGTATACTCATATTGTTTTTTAGTACAATTTTTCCAGATTTTTTTGCAGCAAAAAAATAAAATATTAAGCAAAAAGAAAAAGGCCAAGTAAAAAAACTTTAAAACCAGAAATCGCACTGTTGTTGTTGTTCTTTCTTTTTTGGATCAAACATTTTTGTTATCTTTTTTTCGCTATTTTTTGTTTCTTGTATACTCTTAAAATTCTTCATCTCCTTCTGGTCAATCTTTGCTAACTCATTGTTATTGAATTAAAATTATTTTTATTTTTCTCTTTTTTACATTTTTTGGGTTCGCTTGACTGGACCAAATGTATATGCTTAAAAGGCATAAAGCCGGTCTTTTATATTGCAATTATGTATGTATATACAAATAAATTATACATATAGACGTAGGTATGAAGTTTTTGTATGCAAAGGTATAAGAAGAGATAATGTACCTTGTATATACCGAACCCATAACTTCTTTTGGATTTTTTTTTAAATACCTTTGAATATTTATACAGAGAGCTCACATATTTTTTGTTGTTATAATTTCATGTGCTGCACACAGTGCTGGATTTGCTGTATAATTGTGGTCTATGTCATTGGTAATTTGTGGAAAGCAATATTTTTGGATATTCTAATAAAGTTTCCAAAATAGCAATGAAGTTTTGAATCCATTAACAAAATAAACATCAATTTTAGGAATTTTTCAATTTTGGCAGAATGAAAAATGTATCCATGAGAGTAGTTTTATTCTTCCCTTCTCTGATAGCCTTACTTTACTTAAACGAAACTGTAAAACAAATCTTCAATCAGTGTAGCCTCTTGAAAGTAAGGTGAATTTTTTTTTATTATGTAATACGTAGCATTTAATCCAGATTATCTAGATAAACTTCATGAATAAAAATTTCAACTTCAGTACGTCCCTATACTAAAATTTTGCTGTTAAAATATTTCATATGCATAAATGTATGGACGAGTACATAACAGAAATGAATGTAGTGGACTAACTACATAGTGTATAAGAGCTCGATTGATTTACAACATCATCATTAGGCTTTAGGGCAAAAATCACAACAAAGTAAACGTATGATAACGTTCTTTTTATTTCACCCTTTCTTATTTTCCTCTCTTTTTTTTTGTACCTTATCTCCCCTTTATTAAAAGTTTTGTTCAGCTATTTTTGTTGATTGTTGTTATCGTCAGAGTTTTGCTACCTTACAAAGCATTATTATACATATGCACGGTTATATTGGTGTAATCTTGACCTAGAGATTTAATATTTCATTGTTGAAACTTGGAATATGGTTAGCCTTTCTTTTCTTGTTTTTTTTTTAATTTCTTCTTGTTCCTCTCTGTATTTTGCACTTTTTCAATTCACATTTTTTATATAGTGATCTGTTTTTATGGTTCATCATTGGAATGTTGTAATTATCCTCTATGTACCGTGATGTAAATTTAAGAGTTTTGTTTTTTATTTGGTTTTAGTTTTTCTTGTTGTTTGGCGTTTCTTTTGTTTTTTCAATATCAAGTTCTTGCATACGCGATTTTCTTCTTTCATTGTCCTAAAAAAAAGTTCTGATTTTCTTTTCTGGTGTTTTTGTTTTCCTTTTTTACTAAAAATAAAGTAAGTCATCCATTGTTGCCAATTTTATTTAAGGTGGACACAACAATTTATGAAAATAAAAAAAAAACAGAAGATTTAAGTTTTTATAAAGAAATTAGGAGCAACATTCCTTTATTTTAATTAAACGGATATTAAATTAGAGAAAATCATAAGACTCAAATTAATTTTTCTAACAGGGAATGCGGAATTGCTTACTTACTACATAAATATTTGTTTAAAATTGGTTATAGGATTTGAAATATTTTAAATATCAGGACGCTGCTATAAAAGAAAGCATTAATTTGACAATTTCGTGTTATTCATTCCACTTTTAAAAGTAAGTTTTAGAATTTGACCAGGGCGAGACTGACGTTCGATATATACTTCAAATCAAACTTTTGATTCATCAATTTGTTGCGTGATTCGATTGGACGTCGATTACAGCTACAATATTGATCGCGTAATTTGTTAAAGTGCTTACGTTCCGCCGAGATGTGCCTTTGAATTCGGAGCTCTTTTAATCAGCTAAAACATACTTGTAACGTATGCATGTAAAGTATGATAACTATTTTTTTTGCTCTTCTTGACAGTTTTATTAAATAATAATCTCATCACCGACTTTTATTGTGGTTAATTGGAATGTACTCAGTCAACTTAACATTTTTTTTTTTCTTCGTGGACCAACTGCTACGAATTTTTCTCATAAAAATTTATATTCTATGTGTGTTAGTATTCTGACTATATTATATTTTAAAGGTTACCCTTTTAAATTTTTCTTTTCATTTACTTAGTCCTTCTTGAAAAATTTAGGTACAATAATCATAAATAAATAAAAAAAATTAAAGGGATGAATTTTAATGTCGCCAGTTGATTAGTTTAGTATCATTTTACATAACCCCAAACTTCTTCTCTTCTTCTAAATTTGGTGCAGTGGAGGTAAGGTATGCTATGTAGATATACTACGAAAGCATTTTAAAAATTTTGTTTTTCATTATATTATACTTACAAATAAGTATATGCTTAAAACTGAACTTGTATGAACATACCTCTTATAATATGTATTTCCAATATATTATGTCAAAAAGAAAATTATATATGCCTGTATGTTTTGTACTTATCACCAGCTTTTACACAAGTATTGTTCAGATAGAAACTGTTCTCGACACAACCAAATGCATACATATAAATCCTTGCTTAGAATCCGATCCGGTTCGATTTAACCATTAAGGTTGGACTGTTGTTGCCGCATCTATGAAACAATCTTGCTTTGCTACTAATTTCTTTACAATAAAAATCAACTTTAATTTTGAAACTCTTTATTTCTTTTCTTATTGTTTGTAGTTAGCTGAGAAACTGAACAGCTTTTTACTGCATAAAACAAAATTTTCATGGGTAAAATAAGCTTTATAATGCTTCATTTACTAAAATTCCAAATGATTCCAAAAATTCAGTTGAATAAAAACCTATGTATACTTACAAGAAATTATTTTTTTTTCCCTAACAATATTTAAAATATGTAAATAGGTTAAATTTAGATTATAAAGATAAAAAAAAATTTTGAAAATTTGTTTACAATTCCCATATCACCGCATCACAAAAAAAAAACGAAATTGATAGGAGTAAATAATGATTATAAATTAGATTTGGCAATACCAAAAAAAAAATTATCAAAATTTGATGACAGATGTCGTTAAAGCTTTTTATCGTACTCATATATCATCGATGTATCGTTTTAAATTCGATTAATGATCAAAATATAAAAATAAATTTAGAATATTTTTAAATGTTTTTAAAAATTTTAGCAAAGTAACCTCAGAAAAAAATAAATAAAAAGAATAAAAAAATTATTAAAATTAGTTGAAAAAAATTAGTCAAAAAAATATTTTAAAATGTCGCTCTAGACGGAAAAAATTTA